ACTTTCCGTCTCATTTCTTTTATATTGTTTAAACAGCATTTTCCCCTTTAAGCTCATTTAATGCAACACCATCTGACAATAAACGTGTGCTGAAAGTTCATTAAAAAAATGACCAATGACAGCGTTCCTTGACAATGGCAACAAACTCAACCCAATGAAAAGAGCACGGAGAAGAACAAGGAAGCTGACAGATCGTTGTAGAGGTTGAGAGGTGAAGACACTCTTGGATCTGTGGAAGAAGAAGACCTTGTGTCATTTTTCTGCACAGCACACGTGTGTGTGTGTTTGTGTGTGTGTCCAAATCTGGACCAGGGACCAGCTTCAGGCCTTTTATGGATAGAGATGAGGCTGGAGCTTCTGCCCCCCCCCCCTCCATAGGTTAATCATCAAGCACCTTTATTCTTTGGGGGCAGCGTTGGCATTGAACTTCATCTTTGGCCTTTTTCTACTCCACTCTATCGTCATGTTCTTCACCGCTGCTGAAAACCTCAGACAAAAAGAGAAAGGAAACTCTTTCCTGCAGTAAATCATCCCAAAGTCAGAAATTCCATCTCCCTACTTGTGGCTCCTTTCCACCTTAAATTGTTCTTATTAGTCAAACCTCTTGGAAAATACCCTTGGAACGACGCGTCCTTTTCTCTGTGCCTTACTTCACTAATTATCTTTCCATCCAAAAGTATTTGTTCAAGGTTCTGCAACCACTGCCACTGGTCTAAGATTTTCTGTTTTTTTTTTTTTTTTTTTTGCTTCTTGCATCTCTGTCTTACTTCCAGCCTTAAATGGTGCCTCCTGTGGCAGCCTATGTGAACTGCAAAGACCCAAAATAAAATGTTGCCATTGCAGTAAGACTAAGGAACTCTATTATTATTAATTATTTATTAATAATAATAATGATAATAATACTTGAGATTTAGCCATTATTTAGGTTAACTTCTTGTTTTAGCTATGTCAGGATATTTCTTAGCTAAATGAGGACAATGATAAAAATAGCAATCATCATGGATATCTTCAAACTAAATCAAAATGTAGAGGTTATCTATTACTTTGACCTATGTTTACTTCTCTCTTACATTCATTGACTACTCCATAGCTTATTTTGTAAATTCCAGCTAGCATTTAGCAATGCTAGGCTAACTTTATTCCCCATAAATAATCCTTAAATTCCCAAAGGCGAACTCCCAAGGGAATACTAAAGATTTATCCATCCATCCATCCATCCATCCATCATCTATTAGCTTGGGCTACATGTAAGCTATCTTTTGGATCTTTCCTCCTCGTATCTTGTGTCTAACTTTAAAATAATCTTGTTCGATTTCCATATTGCCGCATTTTGGCCGACATTAGCATTTTCTATTAGCTTCCTCATTTACATTTAGGATTTGTCTTGCGTCTAAATCATCCATCCAATAACCCTTTTAAAAAGCTAACCTAACGTCTAAGGCCCTGTTAATCCACAGAAGTGACTTTTCCAATCCCAGGCACTCCATGTACTATGTTCTGTGATGACACTCCCTACATTTAACGCTGTGTGTACTGCCTCACGGTCCGTTCCGCGGCATTAATGCCATTTTGATGTTGTCAATAGACAAGCTGTAATGGCCCCGGTCTTTCTCGCTGGACGTCTGCGAGCCTTTCCTTGAGCACCCTGAGGCACTACAAAGAGACTAATGGCCCATTAACAGGCCCTCATTTGCCTTGAGTAGAGGAAACCTGTTGTAGGCCTCAGGTGATTGAAGTGCTTCGAGTGCTTCGCTGACTGATAATCAAGACTTGGCCTACGTCTGGTCTCAACGGAGGAAGAAACTCGGATACACAAACACACACTCTCTCTGTAAATACAGTCTTTGCGAGAAAAATCTTTCAATGAGATTTATGAATTTTTAGGTAATGACCCGGTCACGGACCGTGAAGTTTCTATATTTAGCCAGAACGTGGACGTCGAAGATTATCTCGGCTCTGTCAGTGACGATGTCTGACACAGAAGAGCCGCTGTTGGGATCCATTTAATCATACGATCACATGGCGCTGTGACTTCCTGCCGCGGCCGGCATCTGGAAATCGAGCCAGTGTGTTTGTTAGTGTGTGAAAACAGGAGGTTTGTGGTCGCTATCTGGAATTCAACACACTTTTCCTGTAGACAAGGGCTCACTCAGCCCACATCATCCCCGAGCAAGACTCGTTCACTCCGAAATATCTGACTATAATGTTTTAAAGACTCAAAGTTAGTCCACTTTTTAAAATTTTTTTATTTGCCTCTCAACTTCAGAATTCCACTTCTAATGTGATCAGTGGAGAATAAATATCATCTAAACCAGTGGACAATCAAAGAGTCATTTTATGTAATTAAAAGTAAAACTATGTTGTTGGCGAACTGAGGATAAAGATAAAGATTTGAAAGCGTAAGTAGCAAATACGCTAACAGGTAGCCGCTAATGCGCAACGCAAACACCTGCGCAACGTTGATGATCAACGCCAATTGTATCAATGCTAGGGGTTTTTAAACATTTCTAAAAATTGAACATGTACGGTTTCCCACGTTAGGAATTATTTGTTGAACATGTTTTTGCCATTTTGTTCATTTTCTTCTTACTAAATTAGCGGTTAGCCGCATAGTCTTTTGAGCAGAAGTCTTCGAGCAACGATTTATTTTCTTAAAAACAAGATCTTTTCTGACACTTTATTGACTTTTGTTTATTTCGTTTTGTTTGTAAATCATTAAATTCACGCTGCTGACCTTTGGAACAACACTGAATCCTCATCTCCTGGCAACGATTTATTTTCTTAAAAACAAGAACTTTTATGACACTTTATTGACGTTTGTTTATTTCGTTTTGTTTTTAAATCCTTCATGCTGCTGACTTGTTCTGTTTCCCTTAGTTAGCGTTGACAAAACTTGCTAATGTTGCTAATCCTGTTTGTGTCTAAACGCCGTCATCATAACGTTCGGTATCCTAATTTGGCAGTGCCGTTCTCGTCACAGCATCTGGTCGGTGATTAGTGAATGCGTACGCGGAGTTTCTTTTTCAAAGAGGGGTTTTTTTTTTTTGTTTTTTGTTTTTAGTAAAACATCTGGAACAATTGTGGTCATGTCGGACAAACTCGCACCGAGGTTCGGCTCCGCTGATTCCACTGTAGTTACATCTGTTCATAGTTGCCGTGGTGACGTCTCTCTCTGTCAGCTGCTTCACTCCAGTGATGTCACAGTTGCTGGGCAACCTGCGGAGCAAAACAGAATCCCTCTCCGCTCAGAGGAAGACCCTGTTTGTTTGACTGACATTTAATGACTTTTTTTTTCCCCCTTCCTTCTCTCTCCCACACACACACACACACACACACTTACATATATATATATTTAACATCTAAACATATATATTTATATATATATCTTCCATATAATAATCATATATATTTATATATGCATATGTCTCACACTTCAATCTATGTTTAATCACATACATTTATCAATAAAACTACAACTCGATCAGTGTTTGTAGACGTGGAATAAGAGCCCCCCCCCCCCCAAAAAAAAAAAGACATTTTTGAAGTCCTTACGCGTTTCTCTAGGACTCTAGGGACTGGATGGTTATGGCAGTAATTTTGTCCTTAACAGTGTCACAATTAAAATAAAAAAATACACACTTTCAAGGGCTCTTCAGGCACTCGCTATGGTGCACTCATGTTTCTTCAACAGCCCCCCCCACCCCCCGGTGGACATTCATATTGTAATGTGAACTCAACACCTGTTATGCAAAAGGACCAAGAAAAGGTCTGCTCACGTCGACCACCACATTTGTGTTTGAACCATTACCTCATGATGAACATTCAAATGGAGTGTTATCCTGTAGGTACCCTGAATCAACCTAAACTTCATGGTTTCTAGCCTTGGTTTTTGGTGTGAAGTAGGAAGTGGAGCCCCCTGCTGGCTCCAGAAAATACAACGTACTGGGCTTTGGCTTGGGTTAGGTTCAGTGGTTCTCAGTTTAATGTCTGTCATGACCTGATAACATGTGTATTTTTATCTGTACAAACCACTTGCAAATGACTTGCTGCCCCCTAGTGACTGGAGGCTTGTTATCATTCAACTTATGTCCAACTCATGCCATATTCCATTGGAAGCCCCTAACGGGCCCCCCCGGCAACTCACCTCTTCCCTCCAGGGGGCCCCGCCCCACTATTTGAGTACTGGGTTAGGAAGATAAAGCATGATTTTTAATCTTGTAGTTCATTCTAGAGCTGATCAGTGAAGTTGATTTAATAGTTCTTAGGTGCGTTAGAATCCTCAAGAAAGAAAAAATCTAAAGCCCTCTCTCACTTGGACCTGGACTGTTCCCTGTATATAAGCGACATGGAGAATCAGAAACAGTGTGGAAATAATGTGATTATGATTTCTTCCTCCATTTTCTATCCTCGATCTCCTAGAAATGACTTTATCATGGTTATCACAGGTTTTTCACCACGGGCTGTAAATCACGATGATCAAGACTGAGATGACAGTGTATAACAGATTTAATATGTATGTACTGTGAACAGAGTAAATGAAGATAGTTTACACTTATTCCTAAATGTATTTTTATACGTTGTCTCTCTCCTCCTGTCTGTGTCTTTTCTCCTCTGCAGATCAGAGGAAGCGCTGAGAGGGTGAAAAAATAACCCCACGATGTGTTGATCTACACACACGTCGACCCTGACCTTAACCTCTGCTACCAACAGACCTCGCTCGTTTGAATATTTATGAACTTGTTGGAGAACTACAGGGATTTTTCAGGACGCACAACACGACAACAACTGCCTCCGCCCATGTAGGCTCCGTCATCTGTGCTTCATGCCTTCTCCCTCCGCGCTGTTCTCAGGACTCTCAACGTAAAAGATGACTTCTCAGAACCTTTCTATCTCAGTCTCATTACACACCCGGATCCAGGGATAACCATCAGTTTCCACCTCGGCAGCAGCCTCTCAGGACTCACCACAGAGGCCCCGCCCACTCCCTGTCTTCAGGCAGTATGGGAGACGGGAGCTGGGAGTGTTTGAGTCCAGCTGAGTTTACGCAGCTGCAGCAGTACAGTGAGTGTGAGTACATGCCTCTGTCTCTCTGCTCTTTTTTTTTTAAATTTCTGCATGTATTATAAGATTGTGCATCCATTTAAAGCTGTGTATAAAATTTTAAAAATCAAAAAAAAAAAAAATCTGGACTTAACAACATAGGTACCTCCCTTTCCTAATGAAGGAAATTTAATCTATTCAAAAAAAAAAAAAATTCTGGACTTAACAATATAGGTACCTTCCTTTCCTAATGAAGGAAATTTAATATATATATATATTTTTTTAAACAATAGTATCTATTTTATATTAGAAAAATCCCACAGTACACCAACACACAAAAGTACATGTACTAAAATACACTTTGCTCAATTTGCTCACGGTTCATTTACTCAGTATGAAACCTGTGCCTGTTTAGTTGAACACAACACAGATTACCTTGCATTAATTGAAGAAAGACGAAGATTTTATTCAACAGCTCTGGTTTCCGCTTTCTTTTAATCTTTTATAGCCACATGCTGCCACCAAGTGGAAGGGTATATTATTGTTTTGAACAAAGACAAATAGTTTGCTGTAAATTACATAAAAGTTTCAGACCGATTAAGAGAAACCGGATAATTGTCCAAGACACGTCGTGATCGGTTATGGCAGTGGTTGGAAATCACTGGTATGGACAGACACACAATATTTATGAATCAAAGATGAATAGACGATGTCACTCTGACCGTTTCTGTCTTACCCAGACATTGTTTTTAGTATCAATTTCATTGTAGCTTAGCCGTGATAAAACGACATTCTCAGAGTATTTTACAAGCTAAATAATTGAATACAATTTCCACAACTGTTCTGACCTCAAGGTTATTCTGAGTGCCACTGCTGATTTCACCACTATAAAAAAAATACACTACAGCATGATATTAGTCCAGAAACTTTAGTTTTGTTTTATGTTGATTTATAGATATGAAGGAAACCACATCATTGTATTTAGTCAGATTCTCTAGTCAACTGGATAAGAGGGAAACATCTCTGACTCTGATTAATGAATACTGTGAATCTGTACACTCTCTGCACAACATCCTGCTGCTGCGTCATATGATCTTTGACTGTGAGGTATTTTGGGGTGTAAAACATTATAGAAATAATGTGTTTCTGTCTAAGCCTTTTTAGCTCCCGCAGTAGCAAAAAGCTTGTTGTTTTCAGCGCTGCTGACAGAGGGGAAGACAGGAAGTGTTTGTGTCTCAGCAGCTGATCAATTAAGGACTGGATGAAGGGCAGTGGCTCTGTTTCTTGTTGTCTCTGTGGAGAAGAAGACACCATTAGACCGAGTGCTTACGGTCAATATTAATGCTCATTATTAATGACAGACATTTGGAATATGCCGTCAAATCTCAGTTAATGGGTGCAGCAGATTATTTTTCTGTGATGATAATCCCCAAAGTTAAGTAAATAATCAGCAGTGAATTATTGCCATTGGTTTATTAACATTTTGTGATGTTTGTAGAAAAATATTTGGATATTTACTTATAATTACAATAAAACTTTATTTAACTTACCTAGTAAGCTCAAGGCATGACTAGCCAAATTAACATTGTGTTTTTCAACATAACACTCATAACCTAAGACATAACTATGGCTTAATATTTAAAAAAAAACAAAAAACAGAAAAACTTGCACCTCTTTCTACCTCATCTTCACCCAAATTTATATTTACTTTTTTTTTTTTTTTACATATTGTTGTACATGTATATAAGTATATATAAGAGAGCTGGGTAACTTAACGCGATTTATTTATTTATTTTATCGTTGTTAACGTCTGTTGCTCACCGGCTTTTATTTTGTTAAAATCTGTTGCCTACTGCTGCGGCGCACACCGGAACCGGAAAAGGAGAAAATTGACCTTTCGCAAAACCCCGCTAACGGTCTTTGTCCAATTATACATTCTAACAACCGGTACTACGTAAACAAGGTCATTTAAGCTGGCTAACTGTTTAAGTCAGAAGTAGCATTAGCTGTTTGTTTTAGAAACTGAATAGGAAAGTACTTCATTTTACTTTATTATACGTAATATCATCCACAAGAGGAAATTATTCTGTCGACACAGCAGAAAGGTACAAAGTCATCGGCGTAAACATTAGCTTTTAGCGCTAACCCCGGGTGTGAACTTTTTTTTTTTCACTAGGACATTTTGTACTTCTGAAGTTAAAAGATAAAATAGACAAGGTTATTGCTTCATTGACACTGCCCAAATATTATATCAACATTATGACTTTTCTAAGTGTGGATGTTGAATGTAGAACCAACTTCTTCTGATTGTCTTGACCTGATACACATTCCTACAGAATTTGATGCATAAGATCAAACCCTTTTTGAGAGCCTGTTTGTGTCAATGATTTTAAAACCTTCTTTTTGTATCATTTTAGATTCCACTAAGAAATTGAAGGATGTTCTGGAGGAGTTTCATGGTGATGGAGTCCTGTCCAAATATAACCCAGAGCAGGTGCGTGTCAGTGTGTGTTTGATATGTGTTTTGTCCATGGTGTCACTTCATTTCAAAAATGCATTTGTGTCAGCACATGATGCATATTTAGAAAATATGTTATGACTATGTTTTTTTTAATGAGGTTTAAATGATTTCTTTCTTTGCTCACTTCTCTCTTTGTGTATGTCTCTGTGTCTGTGCGCTCGCACGCAGGATCTTCCCTTTTTTCCTACTTGTCATACCCCCTCCAGTTTTCATGCGTTTAATATGTCACCCTCAGTTCATCATCTTGTTTTTTCCCTCACTCTGATGCCGTCTTTCTTTCTCCCACCGCACACAAAGTGATGTTTATCGATCCTCTGATTCGATGTCATGTACGTCACAGAAAAGCTTAGTCACGGCAAACCAGTTTTACAGAAAAGCAGCTGCGAGGGAAAGTGCGAGCCTCGCCACCAGCCGTATATTTTCTGTATCTGCTGGTGGCAGCAGATGGGCTAAACTGAAGTTTTAGTGTAATGCTGATACAAATCTAAAGCTGTGAAAATGCTTTGTGACTCAATATCTACTAAATGAATATGTCAATAATATGTAAACGCCTCTACAGGAGCAAGTACACCTTTAAAAAGCATATTACTTGGTGATTTAGTTCTCTAGGGATTTTCATCAAATATATTTGGATTCTTGCCATGAACATGCGCTCATTTATTAAAGGTAAAATTTCTGCTGCTGTTGACGTTCACCAAAAACTATAAATGCAAAAACACATGAACATGCGCTCATTTATTAAAGGTTAAATTTCTGCTGCTATTGACGTTAACCAAAAACTATAAATGCATAAAAACATATGTTTAAATTTATTTCTCAAAATACAAATACAAGTGATCTGACACATGAAATGGTTTAATTTCAGTCCTAGTGTTTGGACAAATATTTCTCACTAGTTTCTAAATCAAGGAGCAGATGGTGAATCTGGGAAGTCAAGACATCTGATGTCACTGACATCCTGATGTTTCTGTGTGTGTCTTCTTTCTAAACTTCTTAGACCTTATTGACAACTTAGTTGTCTGTCAGGTTATGGAAAGACGAACAGCTGTATGTTTGACCCTTAAAGAAACCAGGACCAATGACCAGTGGTTCCTGTGTGTACGTGTCAATTTTCAATTCCCTTCTCTCCAGATCTGTAATGTAGATTTTTTTTCAAATGGGAACAAATTTTAGTTTTGTGTAAACATTAAATCTGGAACAACCAAATCTTAATATTATGAACACATGAGAAATTCAATTGAAATAAAACACACATCAGTGGTATTTGTTTCCTATGATGTCTCTTTATCTGTAGCCTTTCCAGTTCCTTTTTAATGTAAATCTTATTTTCACAGCCCAACAACAAAATAAAAAATGTATGTGCTATAACATAGCGCACACTCCGCTAATACTACATACTACATACTACTACATACATACATATTTAATATGATCTTGCGGACCAAATATAATCATGCCGCGGGCCAGATTTGGCCCCCAGGCCTGAGTTTGACACGAGTGCGACGGCCTCTTGCTGCATCGTGATTTGAGGTTGATCTTAACCTATTATCTGCCAAAAAAGGCAGTTGGTGTGTGTGTGCGTGGGTATGTGTTTGTGTTTGTGTTTGTTGCAGGTGTGAAATGATTTTATTTATTATTTGGAGAATTAGCATATGCTATTTGTTGTTGTTGTTGTTGTTGTTTTTTTAAAACGACAGGCTATGTTACTGCTGCAGAAGTGGACAAAATCCATGTCAGGTGACCTGCCAAATTTAAAGCCTGTGACACATTTTCGGTGTCATAACCCTACTCCTATGAATCAGTGATCTCATCTGTGCCTTCTGCCCCAAGAAAATCTTCGTGATTTAAATCCCTGCTGGGAGTTGAGTCTTTTCTATAGAGCGCTGAGGTCTTAAAACTCTCATTTCACGTAATCCTACTGATTGTTGTGCTTCACGCTAATTCACCCCAACGAGGGAAGGACACACAGTCTCCCGCAGTGATGTTTTAAAGGAAAGGAAAGAATGTATTATACGGAGGTATATTCACACAGGCAGTCCTGAATTTCATCCCTGTCCTCCAGGAAATATAGTTGACTCTCGAGGGACAAGAATGTCCACAAATGCATTTGGCTGCGTTTACACTCCATTCAAGGCAATAAATAAAAGCGAGGCCGAACCGATGCATATTTCATCATCATAATGTCCATTCGTAGCGTCTTCTGCATGTGCGTGCGTGTGTTTCGAAGAAGCCCGTGTGCACATCCCTGCCTAGCGCGAACCTGTCGTGCGCAGGAAATTAGAGCCTAGTGGCTTATTTTTCTTTCCAAATAAGGAGAGCAAAAAGGGACATGAGTGATGACGGCTTGAGGTCAGCGGTATAGAGATGAGGCAGGACCCTCATCACAGTGTGCTTTGGTCCATGATGGATGCACGTTTCAAAAGCTCTAAACCCGGCGAGAAGCATGAAGACGCATATTTCTGCGACATTCGGAGGGAGTTCCGTTTTTTTTTTTTTTTTTTCCCCTTTGTCCTATTTTGGTGTGGAACAAATGTTGGCCCTTTGTCCTATTTTGGTGTGGAACAAACGTTGGCTGAGGGTAAAAAAAAAACAAAAAAAAAAACAGTGTTTGGTTTGATCTCACTACAGTCTTATCATGTTTACTGAGTCTACTGGATTCAGGTCTGTTTGAAACCTTGAGATAAGAATGTGACCAAACGTGAGTTTTTTATAATGATACTTCCTCCAGGAGAGAATATCAACCTAATACTGAGTCTGAGCAGACGAGTGTTTCAGGATGTTGTTTATTGGAGAGATCAGGGTCAGGGTCAGAACAGAGTTAAATATAGGTGAGGGTTAACAACAGGCTGATGTGTATTTACTCTAGCTGTACTATTACATATTTGGTACTTGGAGTATTAGGGCCACGTTAAGAAGAAAAAAGCACACAGCGTAACGATACGTTTTTTTATAATTTAGTCAACGAGGAGCGTCTGTGAAGTTATACTTTAGCAGTGGATACATAAATAAAGGGACGCTTCATCTTCTGGCTCATCACTTCACATCACAATCAATATCTTCTGGCTTGTTTCTAGGGTTGTTATGTTTACACTAACGCAATTTCGTAAATGTATGACCTCATTCTAGTAAATTTACGACTTTTGATTCTCGTAAACGTATCCATTTATTCTTATAAACTCATGACATTTTTCTCATTCATGTAAGACTTTACCTTACAACAACTTTATTTTCCATGATATTGATTTTTTTTGTGCCCCTAATTTGTAATTTTCTGCCTGGAAATTTAACAAACCTATTTTTTTTCCCAATCAAAGAAAATCAAAAATGTCACATCCAGCGCTGACTTTTTCCAGTGTGTCATTTTGTGACTTCAGTGTTTTACATTTACGTCACTGACACACGTGGTCCGAATGATGCGGTAAAAATCTCAAACTTCTACTGCTTCTAAAATGTGAATTTATTTTACAGTAAAGAAGAAAAAGTAAACGTAGACTCAAGCCGGCATCCGTTTAATTAGGTCAGGAGCATCAAGTGTTGTTTTTCTTTTCGTCTCTCCAGACAAGCTTTTTATCCAGCTTCTAGTCTGTGGCTGCTGTCTGGGAATCTGAAATAAACACACTAACCCTTCATCCGAAGCGTTCTGTTAAGGAGGTTACCGTTGTGGAGGGAAAAGTAGGTTATCCTCTCAGTCGATGCACTTTCCACAGATTTCCATGGCTAAACCTCATCCCAACACGATAGTTGCTTCAACTTCTCGGTGTTAGAACATACATGTATATTTTGGCCCCTTATGATGATGGTGTGTGTGTGTGTGTGTGTGTACGTGAGATCAGGGCGTTCTTTTTAGCGTCACCTCACACGAACCTGCTAACCTCCTTCTTTTCTTCTGTCGCCTCCTCGCTTCTCCCTTCATCTTCTGCTCTTCCAACTGTTAAACAGAAGCAGGACGTTCTCAGCCAAGTAAGCCCTGCGAGAGCTGCATGCTGTGTGGTGTCTGTGTCAGCAGACTGCATGCACATTCTGTCCACTGACATCACAGTCATAACCCCGCCTGATTGGCTGCAGATGGTCTTCGGACCCTGCCAGAGTCCACACGGACCACGGTTAAAAAAGGGGGGGAGAGGGAGGAGGAAGGGGGGCTTGAAGCCAGTGCCACTCTGCTCCCACCAGGGGGCAGAACTGAGGGAGGAGGAGGAGGAGGAGGGGTGCTGTGGGTTAAATGAAAGTGGGCGTGTTCCATTTTTGTGCTGTTGCAAGTTCTGATAACTTTGACTTCCCTCCAAGAGTTTTCCAAACTGGTAAGATTTGAACGGGTGCAGCGTCTCACCGACCACTGTAGGGTTATTGTGGGGTTTTTTTTTTTGGTTTTTTTTTAAACCATCAGTTGTGGTTCAAGTGCTGTGACATTTTACTGACCTTTTAATCCACATAACATTTCCATCCTAATCACCTAAAGGGCCATTCTGCAAGAATAAGAGACATCTAGTGGTAAGACTGCAAATTACAAAAAAAACGGTCTGTGACTCTGCAAACATGTCCTACAAATGTTAAGATAATAATGTTTGCAGATACAGAAATGGAGGACATCCGAGTGATTTTCATTTTTAGTCCACTAATAGAAATATGTCTCTGGGTTATAGCTACTGATGAAGTCTCCTAAATGTTACATATTTGACCTTTTAAACCAATGTTACTGCAAAAAAAAAAATTAAAGTAAGAAGTAGCTTTCATTGTATGTTTTGGGTTCAGAATGTTAAGAATAAAAACGCTAGTGTGACACATGGTTTAAAAAGTTTGCGTGTTCATCTTTGGGTTATGTATAACGTTCTGTACAGACTGTGTTTCATTTGTACTCATCAGTATTTGACAGTATTTCTCAGGATCTGAAAAGTAACTAATTAAAGGCCCGATTATTACTAATCAACATGTTTGTAAGATTTTTTTTTATCTTTATCCTATAGTTTTCATTTCTCCTGAAGCTTTAATTTAAAAACCATTTTCTGAATCACTAACCCTATAAAATCACCACAAACCATGTTAAACTGAAACCTCATCTTCAGTCTGTGCTTGGACATTTGTATTGTGCCCCATTTTAAACCCCTGTTTTCATGCTTTTTCCCCCACACGCAGCCGATTGACTACGAGGGTTTCCAGCTCTTCATGGCCACGTACCTGGAGAACGACATCCCAGAGGAGCTGTGTCAACACCTCTTCACCTCCTTCAAGAGTAAAACTGGAGGCTGTTCCCCTGATCAGTCCCGAGCCAGCACCAGCTTACTGGGTAGGCTGATTGTAACACTGCCGCTTGTACCGCTGCGTCCCTGTCTGTTGCTGTCTCTCCTGGACAGATTGATCTCTTTAATCACTTAGGTTTGAGTCAACGGGACTCACTTCGCAACAGCTTTTCAGTGACCCAAGCAGGGGGGCACAGTAGTCATGTGTGTGGAGATGGAGTGTGTGCCAGGTGTGAACTCCGTCTTCCTCCGCCCATCCGTCAGTCCGTCTGTCCGTGTCAGTGCTGCGTGGGCTGAAAGCCCCGTGTCCGGTCGGTGCAGCAGCTGAGCAGACAGATGGACTGTTGAAATAGAAAAGCCGGTGCTGTGGGTTTAAATGGTTCTGACGGAGCGAGAAGACACAAGGAAGGAAGGAAGGAAGACCGACAGTGAGGGGTGGCACATTATGGACAGTCAGCAGAGATGTTGACTTTATTCCCAGACTTAAATGTACACATTTACCCACCAGCACTGTGTGTTTTCAATTTCTAACCACAGTTTTGTAGTTTTCACTGCTGCTTGGTGGCCCAGAATAATAGGTGGCACAAAAGGAGTTAGCGTAATCTTCTGGTGACATGTTGCAAAGAGACCAGTACCACTCCAGTCACCTCATAGATTGGAAATTAAATTATGTAAAAATATGGGTAAGAAAAGTTGCGTATAGTTCTGGAATTTTAAATATCAGTCAATGGATATGATTCTGTTAAAAAGGAACCATAGTTAACCTGGAATCTGCATCGCTGTGGACATGATTCTGTTAAAAAGGAACCATAGTTGGAATCTGCATCGCCGTGGATGTGAGTCCTGTGTCAAAGCTTACACTGCCATCTGGTGGTCATCGTAGGTAATGTGACGTGCTCTAGTTAGTTAGGCTCAGCTGGTATTATTATATTATATATATATATATATAGTGTTACTAATCTCCAGAACGAACACTGAAAAGGATTAAAGAAAAAAAAAACTAACACAATTATAAAAATAGGATTTATTTGGGGCCATGATTGTTAAAAAAATGCAAAATGCAAAAATGAAAAATGCAGAATTCAAAGTCGAGTAGAGAAGATGTAAAAAACAACACATTAGTTTTGAAGTGAAGATTTTATGTTCAGTAATGTTCCCCTGCTTTGTCATATGAAATGTGAAATTTTTGAACCATCAGTCAGAAGAAAAGGTTGAGAACCACAGGTGAAATGCAGAGAGTTGATTTGATTGGACTATTTGCAAACTTCAGTAGAACTAGAAGCTACAAGCTGGCAGTGACATGATGTATCAGAAGTAAACTCTGGGCAGAGCTATTATTGTCAGTACTATTGTCAGTACTATTGTCAGTACTATTGTCAGTACTATTGTCAGTACTATTGTGTAACACAGTTACACATTCAAAGATACTTCCTCAAATGCTGATGTTTTTGTCTCCTTGCCTCGAAACAATGTGTGGCCACAGAAGCCTGTTCCATTGATGCAGGAATCTCTATTCAGACTGAAGTGGCCTGTGCTCCAATCACAGGTACCGCTCTTTAACATTGAGGAGGACCCCAGTTTTTGTGGAATTGACTTCCTGCTTGCCGTGCCGTTGTTCTTCTTTTGCATTTTCTTTCTGGTGTTGTGTCGGTGGCTACTAATGAACCCTACTTCCCTGCATCCTATTTTGAATATTCTCCAGGTTGTTTATGTTGTTGCAGTGTATATTTGTATAGTTAATTTTTTTTTCTGCTCCTTCCCTCACAACTCACTCTTTGTGCGTCATTAACCTCAACATCCTTTTCTTTGGCTAATTTCCCTCTCCCTTGTCATTCTTCGATCCAACAAGGCATGAACGGTAAAAGCATTCTTTCAGCCATGGCCCGTCACACGCCCGAACACTCTGGCGTGGTGAGCATCGCCGGCTCTGGAGCCACCACCTCCCCGTGTTCCTCTCGTTCCTCCTCCCAGCGTTCGGGAACTGGCGGCCACACACCTGGGGGGTCCCATCTTTCACCGTGTGCTCGGGTCAGAACCTCAGAGGTCAGCGGCAGCAGTAGCAATGTCCTGACCCCCAATTCTGGTCCGGCCAGGTCTCCGGTGTCCCCTAAGCTCTCACCAGGTGAGTTGACGAAAGGACTTGTCTTTATTCACGTGTGTTTTGTTTTGTTATGATAAAAATGGTCGCATCGTCACCTTCCACAGAGAGGAACCGGTACGAGAAGCACTTGTCTCCGCGCAGGACTCCATCGCCTCAGAAAGGCTCCTCGCTGTCTTCTCCGCAGGTTGTCTTTCTCAAGGACATTGTCTGCTACCTCTCCCTGCTGGAGAGGGGGACACCTGAAGACAAGCTTGAGTGTGAGTTGTGGCGATGGTGGGTCAATTTAGAATCAGCTTATCTCAATGGGATGAATAGGAGAATCTGCCTGGTCTGCAAAACGTATAGATAGTAAAAAAAGTCATGTCGTGAATATCATCCTCATTGTTGTTGGACATGACCTACGAATATCTTATATATATATATATAAAAAAAACCGTAAACTTAATGGCCACAGGTATGAGTTGAATTCCGAAAAAACAGGAAGTGCTACTTTGTGTCCTTATCTTAGTATCTAAGTACAATAATACTTCCAGATGCTAGCATAATCCGTTCCAGGACTGAGTTCGTAACTCGAGGTCCTCGTATCTCGAATCATTTTTTCCCATATGAAATAACAGAAAAAAAATTGAATCCGTTCCGTCCCTTTAAAAAAAACTCCCTTTTTAGTGCTAATAACAATGGAAAAAACATGTTTTAATGCTATAGAGACATATATAAGCACAAAAAATGATAGTATATAAGGATTCCTGTGATATAAAATAAAATGTAGTTTTAATTATTTTTTAGTTCTTCTTTGACCTTTGAGACAGACGTTACAGTACTGGCTAATGGCGGCATGTGCGGAGAGGGAGGAGGAGGAGGAGGAGGGAGGAACTAGATTCCGTACCTTACACGTAACTTATTACGTAACTTACATAAACTTAGAATGAGCTTAACTTAGCTTATGTTTTTTTTTTTTTCTTTAGCGGGCACCGCGCTCATATTTATCGACCATTTCATGCTCGTATCTCAAGGTATTACTGTACTAAAATACTACATAAGAGTAGTTACCTTCTAAATGTACTGATGGACGGGTTGTGATTGTTTTGATCTGTCAGTGTACTCCAGGTAAAACCAACACTTTGATCAATTGATCTAAGTGTCGGTCAATCATCTTTTATTGATCATTGATCAATAATAGACAGCACAAGAGAAAAGGGCTTAATACCTTTGTTACTAAAGAAAAAAAAAATTACAAAAAGACTGCGAGCAGCTCTGAGCCTCTGAATCCTGTCCTGTCCGTTCACTGAAGAACTTTTATGGGTTGTAGGAAGTGCAGCACACAGGATGTTAGCCTCAGTTCACGCTGCTTCTGATGCCATTGCCGTAACATTGCTACGCTACATCCAGCTAATGTTGCTCCCGTACAGAGCAGCTCAGGACAGGCTTAACTCCTGCCGTGCCCTGTTGATTTTCTTAAGCATCTCAGCTTATGTTGGTCCGTCCCGACCGGGCTAATCTCCACTTAGTGATCCTCTGCACATTGGTGGAAGGGCAGACCAGAGCAGTGATCTGTGACGACACCAATGACGGCCAAGTGTTTACCTCAGTCAATATATTCTCTCTCCTTTTCCTTTAGTCATGTTTCGGCTTTACGACACAGACGGAAACGGGTCCCTTGACAGTTCAGTGAGTTTTCTACCTTTTGGTTTTCTGTTTTGTCTTTCAGACTAAATCTACATGACTTCATTTACACGTCTAACTTTCACTGAAAAATATACTGTATTTTTTTTTTTTTTTCAGGAGCTGGACCGAATCATCAGTCAGATGGTGCACGTAGCCGAATATCTGGAGTGGGATTCTACGGAGCTGAGACCGGTGAGGGAACAAACACAGTTTTAGTCCTAAAGCTGTTGTTCTCGTACTGTAAGTGTGAGTGTTAAAGAAAGGACTGAACGTCATCTGGATTCCCACCTGCTCTCTGTATATTTGTATTTATAGCCCCTCTTTCTGTTGCAAGTAAAAGTGATGTCCTATAGATAGATGTTTCTCACACTATGGTTGACGTACTCCTATTGGTACACGCTGGTAGAAATAAGGAGTAGTATTGCTATATTTTTTTACTCCATTGACAAGTAGAGTATAAAAGTATATCAGACAAACTAGTAGCATTTGTTCTCCAAATCAGTTTGCTTGTTGTTGAGCTAAATTTTTGTTGTTTTGTTGTTACCCAGGGAAAGAAAATGTTTGAGAACTGCTGCTCTAGATTAAAATATTTACCAGTGTAAAAATACACACAATAGATGGCAGTAATTCAACTTACAATATTCATATTCAATAGTCTACTGGTGTAAAAATTAGTGACAAAATAAACCACAGAATAAACAGAAAAAAAGAGTAAAAACAAAAGAGATGAAAAGAGGACAAACGACTTTCGTCAATGTTTTTTTTATTTATTTATTCTATTAAAAAACAATCCTTTGATGCTCTTAGGTAAGAACTTTTTTTTTGATGACATATTCAAATCTATTATTAACTTCTGATTCAAATAGTGAGCCTTTTCTGTTGTTTGGTCTTTGAAGCCTTTAATGTATAGAGGTAAATAAAAGTTGACCTGACCTCCGAAAATAATGAGCAATTTCTGCACAAACGCAAACTTCAAATGTGTTTGAACACAGATCAAACCGTCAGTGTTCCATCTGGTACCGTCAGGAATGTGTCCCCAAAGATCAGCAGACGGGATTAAACAAGGGTTGAAGGACTATATCTGAGTTTTCTCGGCCGTAGTCTGTGACAGTGACGTTTAACTCTGTCACTTCAGATTCTGAAGGAGATGATGGAGGAGATCGACTACGACCACGACGGGACTGTAACACTGGAGGAGTGGATCAGGGGAGGCCTTACGACTATTCCTCTGCTGGTGCTGCTAGGAATGGAAACAGTTAGTATCACTATCAGTTGTGCTGCTAGGAATGGAAACAGTTAGTACCACTATCAGTTTATAGGGTGGAACCTCGAGATACGAACAGAATGTTCCAGGACTGAGCTCGTAACTCGAGGTGCTCGAATATCAAATCATTTTTTCCCATAAGAAATAACAGAAAAATATCCATTCCGGCCCTTTAAAAAAAACTCCCTTATTAGTGCTAATAACAATGAAAAAAACATGTATATTCTCCATTCAGGAAACAGAAACTGATTCTAAGGATAGATTTAATTTTTTCTGCTGTGGCCCCGTGGAAAACCCTGCACAGATAATTGATTGTGTCCCATGTCTTTTGTTGTGTTTGCAGAACACACAGGAGGATGGACAGCACGTCTGGCGTCTGAAGCACTTCAACAAACCAGCCTACTGTAACTACTGCCATACAATGCTTCTGGGAGTGCGTAAGCAGGGACTCTGCTGCTCCTGTAAGTCCTCCTTGTCCTTTGACGCTGCTCCTTTAACAGTTGTCACGTTTCTCCTAATCTTCTCTGCAGAGCTTGATAGGATCCCTAAAAATCTTGAAGTGCTTGAACCCCAAAATTAGAATAGAGATTTTTTAAATTTAATTATCCTGTTAAAAAAACCTATATCACAGGGAAAAAAAAGAAATGAAGGAATATATATATAATATAGTATATTAAAAGAAAAATAATATAGTCAATATCATGCTGTGTTTATATTAATTATACAAAGTAATGCAAAACAAGTTTTAAATGATTGAAAATCAAATTAAATTCAACACAAAAGCTCAAATCTAGTCAGCAAAGTTAGCTGAAGTGGATGAAGAATAAACAAAAGTAAACAAGTATATATGATGGAAGGCAAGGGCGTAGCATGTATTCATCATCTAGGCCTTCAGTGGCATCCTGAATGAACAAATCCACAGCCAAACAACTTTATTCTGTCTATGGAAACCTTCAATATTATTCAGAAATGTACTATAACGAGTTGTTGTATCCATAAAAAGTCATGTAAAAAACATTACAGTATTTTTACAATATTAAAAAGATAAAAATCGATTTTATTCACCCAAACCCGTAGTCGTTCATCATTTTGCCAAAAGACATTTCAGTGATACATGAATTAAAGATTCATGTGAGTCTAACATTGTTTACATACAGAAAAAAGTGAAAGTTTCCCAAAGGTTGAACTGTGTATGTTTTACTTTCTGTACGTGACTTAAAAAAGCCGGCGCATTTTCTCAATGAATGTGAAGTTGAACGATAAATCCCCCCACTTTCTCCGTTAAAAACTGATCAGTATTCAGTGATTTCATTCTGACAGAGGAAACGGGGTCAGAGTTACTGCCACCTCCGAATGAGGGAAACTCTCGCTGATGTCTGAAATCATCTTTAATGGGACTGACGTTATTTTACAGGCTGCCTTGAAAGTGTGTTTTATTTGCAGCGATGAAAATGAGAAACGAGAGTTTGAAAACAAAAGGAAACTGTCTTTCCTTTTTTCTTTTCGTTTCTTTGAAAGTGTTTGTTTTTTTTTTTTCTTTCTGATGTTGCCCCCTCAGTATGCAAGTACACAGTGCACGAGCGCTGTGTCTCCAAAGACATCGCCACCTGCATCAGCACCTACGCCAAGTCTCGCCGTCACACTAACGTGAGTATGTGCACTCGTTCACAGCAGCAGAGGATCATGGGACATCATGTTAAATCATAGCCAGTCTCGTCTTGTTGTCTGGTTAAAGATAAATAAAGCTGTGTCCAGGAAGATTAGTGTTTGCTCTGACCTTAGTCTAGAACATATGTGTCAAACTCAAGGCCCGGGGGCCAAATGCGGCCCGCCAAGCTGTCTTGTGTGGCCCGCGGGAGCTTAAAAAGCATTTATTAAAGTCCATGCAGCAGAGTTTTTTTATCTTTATAATTAAAAAAAAAATTAATTACATAGCACTGAACAATATTTGTAGCTTGAACAAATAATTATCAATTGCAGAAACTTTTATTAGTCTGTTGATTGAGTAGTTCCATCCATACCAGAGGTCCCTGACCTTTTTTTCTTCCAAGGACTGATCAGCCAGTACCACCTGTTACCCTTGACCTTAAAATATTGCCAGATTATCTTTGAATTAAAAAAAGTAAATGGATATGACAGGATTTTCTTTGAATGAAGTAAATTAGTAAAAATGACTACCAAATGACCCATGGACTGGTACTGGTCCGCGGACCGGGGTTTGGTCACCCCTGGTCTATAGAGTCTTCCAGTTACAACCGGCCCTTCAAGGGGAACCGTACTGCTGATGTGGCCCCCTGGTGGAAATGAGTTTGACACCTCTGGTCTAGAAGTTTGACAGAAGTAATATGTTGTTGCTGAAACTATGTTTGTCTCGTCTTCCTGAAGATGATGCAGCACGTGTGGATGGAGGGAAATTCTCCAACCAAGTGTGACCGCTGTCACAGGAGCATCAAGTGTTACCAGGGTCTGACGGGCCTGCACTGTGTCTGGTGTCAGATCACTGTGAGTTACTACTCCTATTAGAACAAACGAAATGTGTCACGTCGTTGGATAAATAAGTGTTGTTCAGTTTTTGGAACAGTTCAGAAATGTAAATACTAAGTATTACATTCAATAATATTACATTTATTGACTTTTTCTTTTAATGTTTGTGTTCCAACAATCGGAATCTTTGAAATGATCTTGCATTGCTCTTAACATTCACTAGATGGCAGCAGCGCGTCAGCGTTGGTTGTACTGCGGGGATGAACGACATTGGCAGAGATTTAAAAAAAAAAGAAAAAAGAAAAAAGAAAAGTTCCAAAATGAATTACGACTGCGAGTCTAGTTTTAATCACCACAGGATCTTTAATATGCAAAAGAACATTCAGGGCTCGAGACTGAAAGCATTAAGTCGAGTTTTACGACTATTTATGTTTTCAGCGTTTATAGCTTTAAGCATCAATGGAGGAGGAGGAGGAGGAGATGACTGGAGCAGTCGGGTCAAAGTGTGAAGCTGACTGAGAACGCTCAGTCGCTACGCTTGGAGAGTTTTTTTATTGTTATTATTATTGTTGTTGGGGTTTTTTGTTTGTTTGTTTGTTTGTTTGTTTGTTGTGCTTTTTTTACAAAAGTAGTTGACTTAAGTTACGTTTTTGCAACTGGACCGATGTCTCTCTGTGGTTCTGTTTTATTTACCAGTTACATAACAAGTGTGCATCCAATGTGAAACCTGAGTGTGATGGCGGGGCTTTAAAGGACCACACACTGCTGCCCTCCTACATCTGCCCGGTGGTCCTGGTGAGGTCACTTCCTGTTTCTCAACACATGCTCAGAAGTATTAATCGAAATGAAAAAAAAAAAGTGTTGGAATCAGTTTCTGAATCAGAAGGAAAACTTCCATGTGTTTGTTTACAAGTTTGAGTCCAGGTTTAGCCCCTACTTCCTAGTCATGTCTTTGCATTTGGGTGCAATACAATTGATTGGAGTCCTCTGTATTTAGATCCTCAAGTCCCTGAAGACGAGTTGGAAATTAGTCACTTGCAGTCTTAATCAGGTCCCCTTTTGTTCAGGGACGTTTTATCACTTCATAATCGCTATTTCCTGTTGAAGCAGTGACAAAGCAACATTCATCAGTCTTTGTGTAACGTTATTAATAAACACTAACGTTCCTCCCACAGGACCGTCACTCCATGGTGAAACGTGGCGAAGGTGAATCTCCACCTACCACCAGCCCAGATGACGCTAATCAGACATTTAAATTCTCCCCTGGTGATGGACAAGCACTTCAGGTGAGCAGGTTTTCACCGGAGATGGTTCTACTGCAATGAAAGTGGTTTTCTGATGCGTTTTGTCTTTTTCTGTCCTTGTCTCTAGATCACTCCACTCCCAGGGACACACCCTCTGCTGGTACTTGTCAATCCCAAGAGTGGAGGCAGACAGGGGGAGAGGTATGTCCCGGTTTCATCAATTTGAAAGCAGAACAGACAGGGGGAGAGGTATGTCCCGGTTTTATCTATGAAGTCAAAATTTGAATGCAGAATGGTTATATTAGAAAAAAAAATATTTCAAAAAGCATCAAAGTCTTTGATCTGGAACATTCTTCTTCTGTAACGACGTTATAAATGGTAATAATGTCTTTGTGTTCAGGGTCCTGAGGAAGTTACGGTACCTGTTGAACCCGAGGCAGGTCTACAGTCTTGAGCAGGGAGGACCAATGGTTGGGTAAGTCTGCTGTGATTTTTCTCTTCTCTCTGATATGAAAATATATCAGAGTTTATGGAACATGATCTTTGGATAGTGACGTACAGTTTTTTTTATCTGTGATATAAATATTGTTTTTTTTGATCACGGAATGAATCAGAAGAACTAGACTAGGGTTTCTGAACGGTTTCATTATTTTCATGGGGAAACTATTAAGATATGTGGAAAGAGAAGAACGGCGTACAAAAATGGACAAATGTACGGACTTCTGTGTCCAACTGTGCACCAACAAATATCTTCAGGGCAGAGGTTGTTCTTCATGGTTAAAGATCTTGAGTATTATAAGATGTGATCAGATTTCCACCCTTATATACCTGGGTTTTTAACAGTCCAACTTCTTAGCAGGGAACTATATATTGGAACATATATACCTACATATAAAACCATTTGCTACACAAGATTCAGAGGGAAATACTGCCTCAAGTGTTTTCAAAATATTATGGGATACATTTTTTATTTTTTTTAAGTTTTAAAATGAACGTTGTGAGCATGCAATTCTCATTATAATTCTCAGTCGTTTAATGTGTCAGTCTTTACAGTTAGTTAAATATGATTTTTGAGGTACTCTCGTACAAAATGTGTGCCGTTATGTTCTAACATAGCATCAGCTATTTATACAAATTATTATCCGTTAATGTCCTTTCCCATACTCAACCACGTGGCCGTGATTTCTTTGGTCCGACGCAACACTGTTATAGGAAAATGCGTTTTGGAAAATGAGTTTTTCTTGCTCACTAAATGTTCTGCAGGAAAAATTCTCTATAAAACTTACCTAAAAGTGTTCTAAAAGTACATTTAACCACTCACACAGAACACTAATAGACGCACACTGACTAATACGTCAGAGCTATGCACAGCCTCCTACCTGACATTTTAAGGGAATAAGAACCTGACGCAGCATATTCGTTGTAAGTGCCTCAGCTTCAAGGTGAAACTCTATTTGCTTCTCTGTCAACACAAAGCCTCCGTGGCCTGTTGTTGAGACAGTGACCGAGTGACGCACTCAGGTCTTCAGGGGAATAACTGTAGGTGGTGCTCAGGAGCATCGGAATCAAACTGTGTTTCTCTGAGGGGGAACTTTTAAGTGTGAACTTCGACTAAGGTTTGAAGCTTTGGTCATTGCTCCTGCTTGTAGCTTACTTACTTATTTATCTGTGATGGGGCTTGATATATATACTGTATATATACATATATATATATATATATGTATGTATGTATATTTGTATGTATGTATATATGTATGTATATGTATGTATTTATATGTACGTATATATGTATGTATATCTGTATATATATCTGTATATATATATATATAAACTGTTGAAAAGCATTGCAAAACATCACCATGATCCTTGAAGAACCTGATTTGAACTTAACTGTATTACAGACGTTTTTAAAGCTAGCGAAGTATCCATTTCAAATTAAAGTATGCATTAATTTAGGAAAAATAGACACAAAGTAGTCCATAGAGGCTGAATTAGGCAAACATTGGACAATACATATATATCTAAATCAACTTTTTAACCTTTTAGCCAAATGATAAATTAATAGAACAAATAATAAATTAAATAAAAACAATTTTAGCCATAGATGAGAAAAAGAAACCCCAGAATGATCCATCAAAAATACTTCCCAGTTGCGATAAAGAAAACCTTGGTCAACTTTCTGCACACCTATCTACACATTCGCTCGTCCTGATTCTGACTCATAGTTATTGTGCAATTATTCATAAAGAAGCTTCGTTCTGCTTTTCAGCTTCACCTCCATTAGCCTGGAACACCACTTTGAATGTTGTAAATGAGGTGATGTCATACTGTTGGTACTGAGCGTGGGCAGAAGAAAGGGAGGGAGAGCGAGTGAGTGAGAGAGAGAGACATTGGAGTGTGTTCTGGCCCACCGTCACCTACAGGGTTAACTGTTGCCATGGGTTCCTTAGCAACAGACCCAGCTGGGCTTTGAGGTGAGGCTCACTGAGCTCTGGAGAAATATGTTTGGGAAGCACATTCAGCTCGTTAACACAGATGCCGGTCTTTTATGAGCGTAGGCCCTGTTTGTTTTTTCCTCTAAAGCTGTCAGACGTGAAGCATTGACACTCTCGGCCATGATTAGGCAGCTTGATTAAACTTTTATGGATATTTCGGACTTGTTTAGTTCCAACGTGATGCACTCGGTTCATAAATGTCCCTGCAGTTGCTCTGGATAGTTGCTCTCGTTAGAGAGGGCTTTGTGGCCATGTGACCTCTGTGTCAGCCGACCTCCAAAATCCATAAATATTGTACCACCCACTTTAGTTGGATTCAGCTACGGGGGACACAAGTGTAGAGTAATATCTGTCTTCAGATGATGAACGATGACAGGTAGTGACGTTTTTTTTTTTCTTTCTTTTGGGAAATTGTGAAAAGGTCCAGGACAGAAATGGTCAGACATGAACACGCAACTTATTTTCCCTGCACACCGCACCACTCTCTCACAGTCCTCATACATGTCCTGCACCACTCTTGTATACTTTTCTGCCACCCCTAGAGTTTTTTTTAAGGAATTTAAATCTGCCATTTTTTACTACCTTATTTTTCTGTATATTAGAATGTACTAATGGCAGACGTAGTAGAACAAGTGGTGAAAAGTGAAAGTGAAGTCACACATGAGTTCCAGGGCTAGTGAGGTCAACACACTATTTAAGTGACTGGCAACAGTGATAGTTATTTCCTAGAGCGGTGAGGTGACTTGGCAGGCGACATGATGATGAAAACAGCGAACATGATAAACGATTGCATCTGTAAACAGTTCACCGTCCGTGACCAGGTGGTCAGCGCTGGTGTATGCAGCTGCCTCGTGACCAAGGACAGATGAAAGCTACTGTCAACACCTTTGTCGCGCCGCAGATTAAACATCCCTTTGAAGGGCGTCCACTCTGTGACCACTTTGTGACCGTGGAGTGGGCACAGCTGGAGGGGACACAGATTGATTATTGGACTGGGTCTCGTCTCTCAGTATTTTCAGCCTTCGGCCTGTCACTCAGAGATGACAACGCTGGCTAGTTACCGACACGGTCATAAGTGTCTTGTTGGCTTTTCACGTGTCTATTTTCTACATCTTATTCTTAGCTCCAGTTGTTAAAATGATCAGATTGCAATTATGAAACATCTTTTTTTACATGTTGATTTTTGAATGTTGTAAATGAGGTGATGTCATACTGTTGGTACTGAGCGTGGGCAGAAGAAAGGGAGGGAGAGCGAGTGAGTGAGAGAGAGAGACATTGGAGTGTGTTCTGGCCCACCGTCACCTACAGGGTTAACTGTTGCCATGGGTTCCTTAGCAACAGACCCAGCTGGGCTTTGAGGTGAGGCTCACTGAGCTCTGGAGAAATATGTTTGGGAAGCACATTCAGCTCGTTAACACAGATGCCGGTCTTTTATGAGCGTAGGCCCTGTTTGTTTTTTCCTCTAAAGCTGTCAGACGTGAAGCATTGACACTCTCGGCCATGATTAGGCAGCTTGATTAAACTTTTATGGATATTTCGGACTTGTTTAGTTCCAACGTGATGCACTCGGTTCATAAATGTCCCTGCAGTTGCTCTGGATAGTTGCTCTCATTAGAGAGGGCTTTGTGGCCATGTGACCTCTGTGTCAGCTGACCTTCAAAATCCATAAATATCGTACCACCCACTTTAGTTGGATTCAGCTACGGGGGACACAAGTGTAGAGTAATATCTGTCTTCAGATGATGAACGATGACAGGTAGTGACGTTTTTTTTTTTCTTTCTTTTGGGAAATTGTGAAAAGGTCCAGGACAGAAATGGTCAGACATGAACACGCAACTTATTTTCCCTGCACACCGCACCACTCTCTCACAGTCCTCATACATGTCCTGCACCACTCTTGTATACTTTTCTGCCACCCCTAGAGTTTTTTTTAAGGAATTTAAATCTGCCATTTTTTACTACCTTATTTTTCTGTATATTAGAATGTACTAATGGCAGACGTAGTAGAACAAGTGGTGAAAAGTGAAAGTGAAGTCACACATGAGTTCCAGGGCTAGTGAGGTCAACACACTATTTAAGTGACTGGCAACAGTGATAGTTATTTCCTAGAGCGGTGAGGTGACTTGGCAGGCGACATGATGATGAAAACAGCGAACATGATAAACGATTGCATCTGTAAACAGTTCACCGTCCGTGACCAGGTGGTCAGCGCTGGTGTATGCAGCTGCCTCGTGACCAAGGACAGATGAAAGCTACTGTCAACACCTTTGTCGCGCCGCAGATTAAACATCCCTTTGAAGGGCGTCCACTCTGTGACCACTTTGTGACCGTGGAGTGGGCACAGCTGGAGGGGACACAGATTGATTATTGGACTGGGTCTCGTCTCTCAGTATTTTCAGCCTTCGGCCTGTCACTCAGAGATGACAACGCTGGCTAGTTACCGACACGGTCATAAGTGTCTTGTTGGCTTTTCACGTGTCTATTTTCTACATCTTATTCTTAGCTCCAGTTGTTAAAATGATCAGATTGCAATTATGAAACATCTTTTTTTACATGTTGATTAAAACTAGGGATGGCTCGATCCAAAACCCGATCAGGATCAGTCCGATATTGGTCAGAATTTCAGGATCGAACATTGAAAAAAGCCTGTCCGATCCCGTACCTAAACCCAAAAGCTCGACTTAACTTTGTTACACATGCCGCTAACAGGGACGATATCGTCTTAGCAATTCAGAAACATCTGGATTTGGATTGATACTGGTATCACCAGACGCTCCAAGTCGTGGTGTCTGTCTCAGTATCGGACATGAAAAAGTTGCATCGAACCGTAACTAGTTAAAATAATCACGATCTGTTATTTTTCTCTGTTACTACAGGCTGAATTTTTTTCACGATGTTCCCGATTTCCGTATCCTGGCTTGTGGAGGTGACGGCACGGTGGGCTGGATCCTCGACTGCATAGGTACACGAAACCGGACCTCAAATGTCAATCATGTTTTGCAGAGACACAATTTGCTCATCTACCATTTTGGAAAACTGTAGTTTACTTTGAGCATTAGTTTTAAGGAGAACAGATATTTACCAGTAATCTTAACTGGAGCTGTCTTTACAATTTCTCCGGCAGAGCCACCTCCAAGATAATCATTTGAGCCTCTCACTTTACCCTTGTATGTATTGATCTTTTCATTACCAGCTGACCACGAATCTCTCTCCTCTAACCATGAAAGCTGAACGGCTTGTTAATAAAACCTAATTTTCTAACAACAGTCAGCGTCTGTATGTATTTACTGTGATCTGTTAAAAAAAAAAAAAAAAGGATAATCTATAAACTCATTTGTCTTCCAGATAAAGCCAGCTTCGCGCGACACCCTCCAGTAGCCATTCTCCCCCTGGGCACAGGAAATGACCTGGCACGATGCCTGCGCTGGGGAGGAGGTGAGACGTTTACTCAGTCGTCGTTATCATGGACAACAAGTCAAAAGTTGTCTTGATTTCTTTTAAACACAGTAAGAGTAAAGATTTTGGTTTTGTGAGAGTGAAGCGATGGCTGGAGAAATCTGACAGTTCTCATGTGTCAATTTAAAAACTGTTATTATGCAAAACACTCAGGCTGTTCATCATCTGCCAGCCAAATTTTTGTTCCAGTGATGAACAGAAAGGCTGATTATGAGTGGCTTCAGAATGTAGCCAAAGCAGAGGCCTCTGGGACTTTTGACGAACGGAGACTTTCACTGATTGAAGGATTTTTTTTATCCTCAAACCAAACATGCTAAACATGAGATGGTGGGAAATGACATCAAGGACCAGGATATTAATACATCAACTTTAGACTGTAGACTAGAGTAATGAATAGAAATAAGAACATAGCTGTTCCTGAACTTTCCATCCAAGGCTAAAGTTAAAGTCTGATTGAATTCTCAGCGGACTCCTAAAGTTTAAATGAGACCAAACAAATGTTCTTTTCTTTTTTGGGAAGTAGAACAAAAACAAAGCCAACCGAGTCTTTCCTAACTGCTGCATGTTTCAGTACTTTAATAGTTTTTATAGAGATGCTTATAAAACGATAAGGCCAAAAATAGCAGATTAGATTGTGTCCCTCTTCATATACCAACCAGCCCTGGCACCGACAAATTGTTCGGGTGCATTGAAGCGATTAATGATATGATTTAAAACTAGAAATGTAATGATGGCAATTTCTTTTTTTTTTTTTGCAGATTCCAGTTTCCTTAGTCATGACGAACATTTTTTCTCACAACAGTAATTCTTCTCAGTCTGAGCTTCTCTCTTCAGTTCAACTACTTTCAAAACTAAAAGTAAATGAAATGAAAATGGGTTCCTGTGCGGCATAACAAAACAAGAACATATCTGCAGTTTATATTATATTTACAGCATTAAAACTAGAAATGTAATGATGGCAATTTTTTTTTTTTTTTTCCAGATTCCAGTTTCCTTAGTCATGGCGAACATTTTTTCTCACAACAGTAATTCTTCTCAGTCTGAGCTTCTCTCTTCAGTTCAACTACTTTCAAAACTAAAAGTAAATGAAATGAAAATGGGTTCCTGTGCGGCATAACAAAACAAGAACATATCTGCAGTTTATATAACATTTATAGTGACTTATATAATATAATAAGACATCTCTTTTTTTTTTCCCCTCGCCTTGATATAAAACGTCCAATAATTACAAAATTAAAGTCCAAGTGCAAACTTTTTCAAGTAACTGACGACATAAAAAAAAAGTTCCCAAAATAACAACGCAAATAAAAGCAAGTGAATGTAGCACAATCCAGTGTATGCCGTACAATGGCGACGAATGCTGTCATTTTCGTATTCATCTGCTTCACTTGCCAACTACCGTAGTTCACACAGGATCTAGTTGGCAAGGACATCCAATAGTGTGTGCAGAGTGTAATCTCTTAGTGTCAAACCTTGGGACCTGGTACTTTTAACAGCACAGTACTCTCTACTGTGGTACAGCATTCAATTGGCTTAGAAGTAGGGAGAAAAAAAAAGTCTCTTTGCTTGGGTGTCAGCTGTGTTCTTTGTCAAACTCAAACCTATACGCTGTTTTTCTGTAGGTTACGAAGGTGGCAGTTTGCTGAAGTTCCTGCGGGACATCGAACACAGCACTGAAGTGGTGTTGGACCGATGGAACATAGACATCGTCCCTGATGACAAGGAGGAGAAGGGTGACCCGGTTCCCTACAGCATCGTCAACAACTACTTCTCCATTGGTGTGGTAAGAAGAAAACATGGAATGCACATTTTAGTTTAAGCTTCGAAGCACAGTAATAGATAAGAAGCGACGCTTGCCGAGAACCAGCTTCAAAGTGCCTAAAAGTAGACAATAATATGAAGAAAAGAGTGATTAGGAAGAGAGATAAAGAAACAAACAAGCAATTACTTAACATTGGCAAGACCGGTGTGACTGCAAGTTAAACGGAAAACCGCCAATTAGCTAAACAGTTTGTTTAAAATATAGGTAACAAATTGGTTATTATTGAAGGAAATAGACACACGTTATTTACCTATAAATATTAAGAATTAATTTTATACTAAAGTAATTACCAAAATTTAAACTGGCTACAGACGGACATAGACAAAATGAATGAATGTTCCTATCAAAGTTGTGAAAACCCTGGGTGTCATGATTGTTGACCAGGAATCCTTTCCCGACCACATCGCCTCTGTCTCCGGATCTTGTCGGTTTGCACTCTGCAACATACGAGAAATCAGACCGTATCTGACTCAACACGCCACCTAACTGTTACTACAGGCTATGGCAGGTGTGGGGAAACTTTTTAGCTCGCGGGCCACCATTGGTTCTAAAATTGAACAGGTCGGCCGGGTCAGGAGCAGATAGATGGAGCGTTCGTGTGAACTAAGATGAATGACATGTAAAAGTCATGCATGAAGGCTAAAATGCTTTTATCATATTCTACTCCATCTATTGGGGAAACGTGGTTATTGCAGGGAAAAGGCAGAAGTATAATGATAAAATAAATTGTATAATTTGGAAAGGTTTGGTGGGCCGGATTAAACAGCTGAACGGGCCGCATCCGGCCCCCGGCCCTTAGTTTCACCAT